CTCGGCCTCCCAAAGTGCTGGGATTACAGGTGTGAGCCACCGCGCCCGGCTCTTTCTTTCTTTCTTTTTTTTTTTTTTGAGACGGAGTCTTGTTCTGTCACCAGGCTGGAGTGCAGTGATACGATCTTGACTCACTGCAACCTCTGCCTCCAGAGTTCAAGCGATTCTCCTGCCTCAGCCTCCTGAGTAGCTGGTCCTACAAGCGTGTGCCACCATGCCCAGCTAATTTTTGTATTTTTAGTAGAGATGGGGTGTCACCATGTTGGCCAGGATGGTCTCAATCTCTTGACCTCATGATCCACCCGCCCTTGGCCTCCCAAAGTGCTGGGATTATAGGCGTGAGCCACTGCACCCAGGCTGGGGGTTCTCACACGTGACCCTGCATGACCCCACTGCAGGAGCCCCCGAGATGCAGACGCCCCAGCACAGGCCACGGAGTTGGCCTCAGTGGGCTTGAGGGGAGCCAGCAGGGTCTGCGTATTTCTGAAATCCCTTAGCTGCAGGTGGGCTCTGAGAAACCCCAGCTTGGAGGCTTGAGGAGACAGCATGTCCTGGGCACTTACCTTTCCTTCTTTTCCACCTGAGGAGGCACAGCAGTCCCAAAGTGACAGTTTTGAGCACAGCAACAGCCAATGCCACACTGATAGCAGTGTCCAGACTTAGGTGCCATGATTCTGAGTGCCCTTTGCCTTCTGTGACCCTGAGTCCAGCTGTGGTGGTTGCACTGCTGGGCCTCCAGGTGGTGGTGGTCGTGACAGCTGGGGAGAGATGAGGAATGAGCAGACCTTCTTCTGGGGGTGCGGGGCATCAGGGTGAAAGGCATGGTGTGCTGCTTTCTAGATTGGGGGACATTCAGGATGAGCAAGCTGCTCTCAGAAGCCCACACAGGGAAGGGGTAGCAAGGTGAAATGCTGACAGCTTTCAATCCAGACAACTGGGTTTAAATGTGAAGACATCACCAGTCATCAAAAACCCTGACTGCAGTGGGCAAGGCGCGTGCCGGGGCAGCTGGACTCACCCTGGGTGATGGTGAGTTTGGTCCCCTCGGTGGACTGCCACTGCTGCCTCCCTGATCTCCGTGTGTCCAGCTCGACTCGGCAGAAATACACAGACTGGTCCTCCTTCCGCAGGTTCCAGATCCTGAGGAGCCCGCGGTCCTGACCCTCTGTCCAGTTCAGAAAGAGCCGGTTCGAGTAATCCTTGTGAATGAAAGCTGGCCTTGTTCTGTAGAAGAACTGCCCGTGGAAGTCGCCCCGTCTCCAGGATATTTTCATGTTGGGAGCTGTGGCTAACTCCCAGGGGTGATAGAAGGAGAAGGGAATTTCCACGGAGCCACCCACAGGGGCTGAGAGGTGTTTTGGTTGAGTGACCCCATAAGGGCGGTTTGGACTGGATCCCGCGGAGCCACCTAGAGGTGGGAGGGAGAGAGTGGGGGAGAGACCTCGAAGCCACCGCAAGACACAAAGAGGGTGACCCCAGACCCTCCCGCACCTTCGGCCACAGGCAGTCGTGTGACAGGTGGCTGGACTGACTTCTGGCCTGGGTCT